GGGGGGGAACCGGTACAAGGAAGTCCGGGGGAGGGGGGAGGGAAGGAGTGCGGTAGGGGAAGAGACGGTAGAAGGGGACTGACTCGTCGAACGTGACGTCCTGGGAGGACAGAACACGACGAGAGGAGGGGTGGTAAAACTGCCACCCTGGGGCGTCAGTGGGGAAGCCAAGGAAGACACAGGGAGCAGCACGAGGGGACAGCTTGTCCGCAGACAAGTCGCGGACAAACGCCCGAGATCCCCAGACACGGAACACAGACGCATCGCCAACCTTCCCTGTCCACAGCAAGGCTGGGGACATCGCAGGCCGAGAGACCCGGGGGTGAAGGTTGAGCTGATGCGCCGCGTACCGAACCGCAAACGGCCACAGAAAATGGGGGGCAGCCGCATGCATCATGGACGTACGAGCGACATCCATGACCATGCCAATGCGGCGCTCAGCAATCCCATTTTGCTGTGGTGAGTCCGGAAGCGTGAAGGACTGGCGGATGCCTCGCGCACGACAGTAGGCACGCAGAAGGCCAGAGGAGAACTCTCCGCCTCTGTCCGAGTGCAGACGCAGAACAGGAATGTCCGAGCCGAAGCTCTTCCTGAGCCGGAGACGAGCCTCGCGGATCCAATCGATCAGCACCTCAGTGACCTCACCCTTGTTGCGCAAGGGGAGGACTGTGGTGTAACGCGAGTAGTCGTCAACCACCAACAGGAAGTAGCGCTCGTAATCCTGCCCACGGACGGGGGCTGGGCCCCACACATCCATGTGAAGCGTCTGCAGGGGAGCCTCTGTCGGGGGGAAGTGGGAGGAGTGAGGAGTAGCCCGGAGGCGACCCTCGACACAGGGGACACAGGAAGGTCCTGGCCCGGAGGGGAGAGGAGGGAGAGACTGGGGAAGACCAGAGACAAGGACACGGGAAGCCATGCTCCGAAGACGGGGCAAGGAGGGGTGGCCAAGACGTTGGTGCCACAGAAGAGTCTCGTGAGACAGGAGGCGACAAGTACAGGGGGCAGACTCAGGACCAGACCTGGACGCAGCAGCAAACACCTGACCCGACGCTGCTACCTGACCGGACGCGGGGACAGGAGGAGACTCAGTGGTCAGGGTGTAGAGGCTCGACCCCGGCCGACGCGAGAACGTGGCCAGGTGCCGGCCTGTGCGTGCGTCCGTGCAGTGGGTCACCCGCTGACTCGCAGGAGTGAACTGGTGAACCCCCGCATCCTGTAGGTCTGCACCACTCACCAAGTTCGTCGAGAACGAGGGGAGGTACAGGCCAGACAGGGTGCCCGAGGGGGCAGCCGGACACGGGAGGACAGTGGAGAAGTGAGCGAGGACAGGACCCCCAGAGGGGTCAGCCAGGGAGACTGCAACCGGCCGACCAAGCGGCGTGAGTGTGGTGCGGTCCCGAAAGAAGGAGCGAGAAGCCCCAGAGTCAAGTGTAAAGGTGAGGGAGGCCGAAGCCAACGCGGTACCTGAGAGCGCAGTCTCACCCGCACCTGAGGAAGCAGACTCACTAGCACCTAGAGCAGCAGCCGCACCTGTACCTGGAGCAGGAGACTCACTAGCACCCAGAGCAGTAGCCTCACCAGTAGCTAGAGCAGCAGGTCCTATACCTGGGTCAGGCGGGACGCACAGGTGACCTGCACGGTCAGCACTAGTAGTCAATGCATACATGGCAGTGAGAATAGCATCATAGTCAAGAGCATATATATCTACCCTCTGCCTAAGCAACTCCACCCAGTCGGGAAGCTCAGCCTCGTCGCCAAACACGTCACGCCAAGCGTCGCTCAGACGGGCGAAGCAGCGGGACGGTGTATGACTACGTGTCCCACAAGGCTGACCAGTCCGAGTACCAGTGCGAATCACGTAAGAGCAGCGAACAGCACTGAGAGACCCTCCACTCTGAGCGTACCACTCACGAAGCTGGCGAGGCGTGAGAGACACGCGAGAGGGTCGCGGGAGCTGCATCTGGCCGCCACCACGAGTAGAAGCAGCAGGAGTGGTAGTAGGAGTAGCGTCGCCACCCCTACAGCCCCAACCAGCGTACCACTCACGCAGCTGCTGCGGCGTGAGGGACTCACGCCGGCGTCGCTGGGGCTGCATTTGGCTCCGCAAGTAGAAGCAGGAGCAGGACTAGCAGCAGGGAGGCAGGCAGCCAGGCAAGCCAAAAGGCAGGCAGGCAGGCAAGCAGGCGACGCGCAGCGTGCTAGCAGGGCAAGAGCTCACCAGTGGTGGGAAGAGTAGGTTCGGCGACTCAGCGGCTCGGCAACTCGGCGGCTCGGCGGCTCGGGCGACTCGGGCGGCTCGGCGGCAAGGCGGCTCAGCAGCAACTGCAGCTCAGTAGCTCGGTGACTCGGCGGCTCGGCGGCAGGGCGGCTCGGCAGCAACTGCAGCTCAGCAGCTCAGCGACCCGGCGGCTCGGCGGCAGGGCGGCTCGGCTGTGGGGCGGCTCGGCTGCTGCAGTGGGAGATGAAGGAGGAGGAGAAGCAGGGGAGGCCACACACCTGCCACCCCTCTGCAAGCGGCCCCCTCAGGTCGCCTCGACAGGCGACGGGAAAAGGGGGGGTGGGTGGTGGGGGGCCGGTAGGTGCAGCGGCGGGGCCAGCAGGTGCAGTTGCGGGGCCGGTAGAAGGGGGGACGGCAGGAGCCGTCAGGAGGGGACGGCGGGGCCGTCAGGAAGGGACGGCGGGGCCGTCACGAAGGGACGGCGGGGCCGTCAGGAGGTGACCGGGCCGCGACGGGGGCAGGCGGCGGGGCCGCGTAAGGGCCTGGGCGGGGCCGCGACAGAGCCGTCGGCGGGGCCGAGTGAAAGCCGGGGCGGGGCCGCGTAGAAGCCGGGGCGGGGCCGCGCGAGAGCAGGCGGCGGGGCTGCGAAGGAGCCGGGGCGGGGCCGCGTGAGAGCAGGCGGCGGAGCCGCGTAAGGGCCTGGGCGGGGCCGCGACAGAGCCGTCGGCGGGGCCGCGTGAAAGCCGGGGCGGGGCCGCGTAGAAGCCGGGGCGGGGCCGCGCGAGAGCAGGCGGCGGGGCCGCGAAGGAGCCGGGGCGGGGCCGCGTGAGAGCAGGCGGCGGAGCCGCGTAAGGGCCTGGGCGGGGCCGCGACAAAGCCGTCGGCGGGGCCGCGTGAAAGCCGGGGCGGGGCCGCGTAGAAGCCGGGGCGGGGCCGCGCGAGAGCAGGCGGCGGGGCCGCGAAGGAGCCGGGGCGGGGCCGCGTGAGAGCAGGCGGCGGAGCCGCGTAAGGGCCTGGGCGGGGCCACGACAAAGCCGTCGGCGGGGCCGCGTGAAAGCCGGGGCGGGGCCGCGTAGAAGTGATGGCGGCGGGGCCGCAGGGGAAATGGCGACCCGAGGGGTCGCTAAAAAAAAGATCGCGCCTCGGGGGGCGCTTCGGTGGGCCCAAAAAAAACGGTCCGTAGAAGGACCCGCTCTATACCATGTGAGAATAAGCGAACAGGAATGAATGAACTAGCAGTGAAAATGAGTACAAGTAGGAAACCCTAGAATTGTGTACCCCCTATAGGCTAACCCACTGTAGCCTACACAAGCATAACATATATAATGTTTGACACTTGATTGTAGTCGAATTTGCCTTGATAGCTCGCATACCATGTTCGGCTCAGAAAAGCCCTTAGGATATTTTCAAGGCTAAACTCTTAATAGAAGTGTTGTAGTTGCGGAAGCGTTTTGATGACAAGTGTTGAACCACCTTGCGCTAGTATGTGAGGGCAAGATAGATTGATTTTTGAAAGATAATACAAGCTTTCTATAAGATTACAAGGAATATGAAAGGATGCAATAACTGTTTTACTGTTGCTGTTGCGGTTCGATACAGTGACGACTCGGGCAACTGCTCTATAACGAGTCAGTTGTTTGTCCTTGCTGTCGCGCTGTATTTGTCGATTCAAAGGTCAGCGACCTTTGACCTTCGCGTAACCTCCAGCAGTTACATTTTCTATCAACCTCCTTGGTTGACTGACCGATGCTTCGTTGTAGTTTGCTTCGCTTGCAGTTCAGTGTTTCGACACATCAGAAGCGCTTAAGTCACTTGTTTCCAACAGCCAAGACGACATCTAGGGCGCCTTGATGCCTTTGTAGTTTACCTTTGGAAATGAGGGGGGCTTGGATAGAAAACTGGCCCATGGGCGAAAAACAGATGGTAGTATTTCCCTTATCAATTCTGTTGAGTTTGTCACTCCTCTGTGAGCGTAATCAATACTATTTCCTCTTTCGCGTCATCCTCGTACCGCGTACAGCACTGTTCGTGCCTTCACGTCATGCAGTGTGCATTTTTCGCTCCGCCTGTACAACACAGTTCCATTTCCCCATTTGCATTTCCAGTCCCCATAGCTCCATCCGCGCTGAAAGGTGCTCGTTGCCACAGACCCTTGCTCGTGTCGCGGTTCGTCGCGACTATGAAGCGCGGTGACCGTTGTCGTCTGCTGTCTCTCCCAGACGAGCTTCTCCTGTCCATCCTAAGTAACATCACCCACCAATCCGACCGTTGCAACGTCGCGCTCGTCTGCTCGCGCCTCCGCCGCATCTCGCGCCGCACGCCGCACTCGCTCCTCGTCGAGTTCATAAGTTACCACCACCGGCATACCAGCTTCCGGGATTGGTTGGAAGAATTTGACGCGAAAACTAGGGTGTTTTCCAACATTACCAGTCTGATTGTGCGCGTGACGGACACCCTACGAGACTACCTGCTGGCGGGTATTGGCGCTACGTGCGGGCAGCTGAAGGAGTTAAGACTGTTGGCGGTGGATTGGGGAAGTTTCGAAGCCACTGCTAGTGGGTGGCGGTCGCTTGCTCGGCAATGCCCGTGAGTGGCCTGCGTAGGGAATGCTTGGGGATGTGTGGACGGTAGAGTTATCTCCCCCTCGCCCCCCCATTCTTGGGAATTTGCGAGCAGATTCTCAACCTCCCCGCCCCTTTCTCCCTTCGAATAGAAGAGAAAGGAGTAATTCAGTTTCTGTATATATAACGGAGGTTCGAAGGAGGAAAGGGAAGATCCCGAGATGCAGCATCGTTCTCAACAAGCAGAGGACTATGACGCAGTATCGCTCTCTCGTCCCACTCCCTTGCTCTCGTTTCCACCGCCTCGTTACAAGCGTTTCACTTCAACGAGCCTCTTCTCTTCTCTTCTCACCACCAGCTCTCCTCTTTGCCTCCTCTCATCAACCACCTGAGAATTCTCAAAACCCCTCTCGCGTCCTCACCCCTTCCCCCCCAACCCCACCTCCCCCATCTCTCCCCATTCGCCCGCCCGGACCACCTAATTTCAGCCAGCTGACTCATCTGGAGCTCAGCTTGCGATTTTCCCGCGATGCATCGCGCTACCTCTACGAGGATAATCCCACCCTGCCGCCTCTCCACGCCTTCCATTCCCTCCGCGCCCTCACCCTCAGCTTCCGCCCCAAGGAAATCTCTCCCCTCATCCGCTGCTCCGCGCTCACCTCGCTCTCCCTCTGGCAGACCACAGGTAGCTCTCTTGCCTGTCTCGCCTCCTCCTCCTCTGCCTTCCGCGCGTCTCTTGAATCCCTCACCATCCGATCTGTCGATCTAACAAACTACCTCCCTTGCCTTTCCTCATTCACGTCCCTCTCCTCCCTCTCCCTCCACTCCTGCACATTCAATCCTGGCGAGCTTCACTCCCTCTCGCGCTCCCTCCACTCCCTCACGCACCTCACCATCGACGATTGCCCCTCGTTCTGCTGCCGTGCTGTGGCAGCAGTGGTTCGAGCCAACCCCTCCCTCTCCTCCCTCTCTCTCACCGGCACCACCTACCGTCTCTTCAGTTCCAAGCCCCTCTCTGCCGTGCTTCGCCTGTCATCCCGTAAGCTTCAGACGCTCACGCTTGCGGGTCTGCCGTCGTTCCGCCCGGGTATGCTTGCGGGGTGCAGCAGCCTTGAGTCGCTCACTCTCGAACGAGCAGAGGGGTCGCTGGAAGGGCTGCTGAGCATGCTCGTCAGGGCGGACGAGGCGGGGGGATTGATGGCACGACGTGTGGATACGCCTTCAGGTGCGGGTGCGGTTGCTGGTGCGGGTGCGGGTTTGGGTGTTCCTATAGCAGCTGCGGAGGGGAGGATCAACGGAAGGCAGAGAAGCTACATCGACATCCGCGCAGCAGCAGCATCGGCGCGTGCCGACGCGGCCTCATCCTGGAGAGACGTGCGCCGGCTGCGCAAGCGGGCGGGACACCTTGCGCGTGCTGCGCTGTCCGAAGCACATTCCGCACGCCAGCACGAGTCCGTACAAAGTGTTAGGTCCGCTATCAGTGCGGTCGTGAGCGCTATTGCCGCCTGCAAGTCTGCCTCTGCTGGGGTGTGGGACGCGAACGCTGCGAGAGAGAAGGCACGCGCTGTGGCACGACTCTTCACCGCTGCTGCTGCTGCCGGCACCTTAGGGATATTCACTGCGCAGTTTGCAGGAGAAGAGGAAGAGGAGGATCGGGAGCTTGGAGAAGACATTGTGCTCAGTAACGGAGGTGAGGACTTCCGTGCTGCTGGGGCAACCTTGAATGCGGTTCACAACGGTACGGAGGAGTGTGAGTCAGGTGGCAGTGGGCCCGTAGTGTCGCGTGAGGAGCTGCTTGTGGTGCTGGATAGGCTTTCGGAGCAGCTGCGCATGCGCCTGTCGGCCATGCGTGAGGACGCTGATTCGCTGCTCCGGTGGGAGAATGCTGAGGGCCAGGCAGAAGCGCCAGCAGCAGCAGTTGAGAAGCCAGCAGCAGCAGTTGAGGAGCCAGCAGCAGCAGTTGAGGAGCCAGCAGCAGCAGTTGAGGAGCCAGGGGTGCAAGAGGGCGGCGCACAAAGGGAGGAAGGTCAAGGGGAGAGAGGAGGAGGAGGAGAAGGAGGAGGAGGAGGAGGAGGAGGAGGAGGAGGAGGAGGAGGAGGAGGAGGAGGAGGAGGAGGAGGAGGAGGAGGAGGAGGAGGAGGAGGAGGAGGAGGAGGAGGAGGAGGAGGAGGAGGATTAGGAGGAGGAGGAGGAGGAGGAGGAGGAGGAGGAGGAGGAGGAGGAGGAGGAGGAGGAGGAGGAGGAGGAGGAGGAGGAGGAGGAGGAGGAGAGTCAGGCAGCAGATCCACAGCAGCTGTGGCGTGTCAAAGAGTGAAAAGTGCAACGCCAGTGGAAGTGTTCTGCCCTTGCCTGGCCTCCCTGGTCCTGAAAAACATCCAGTTTACCCCTCCTTCTGAGCCTCTGCCAGGGTATATTCCCTCTACATCCCCTCTCCTGGTTCCTGGTTCTCGTGCTTCTCCTTGCTCCACATTTCTCTCAACTCCTCTTTCCTCCCTTGACTTCTCCCCAAGTGCCCCTCCCGCTCAGCAGCAGTCGTTTGAGAGCATTGCCCTGGCGACTGTGTTTGGCGGGCTGAGGCGGTTGGCAGTGGTGCAGTGCGGTGGGGTGGGGGAGGAGCAGCTGAGGGCAGTGCTGCGTGCATGCCGGGTGTTGGTGGAGCTGAGAGTAGAGCACTGCCACGCCATGTCCGATGCCCTGCTGCTCTCATGTCCTCTGCACTCACTCACTCACGCGACGCTTGTCGCATGCAAGCAGGTTACAGCTGCCGGTGTTGCCGGGCTGCTTGGGAGTTTCCCGGGGTTGAGGTATTTAAAGGTGGAGGAGGAGAAGGTTCCTGAGAGGGCTCGGAGGAAGTTACTTCGTGCTGGTATCGTTGTTAGGGGGTGCGAGTTTGACGTTGGCCCTGGGTGTGGCCCTCTGTGCAAGGCGCATCGTTGTAGTAAGGTGAGGTAGCACGATGAAGCGTCCCCTCCAGCATCCCCTTCAGCATCCCCTCCAGCATCCCCTTCACTCCATCCGAACCTACAAATGCTAAAGCTGTCTGGATGCAGCTGTATTTCTCTCTGAGACCTTGCAGTGCAGGTCTTGAATGTAGAGACCAGGGTTGCTTCTCGAATGTAAATATTGCCGTCATCGCCTGGATAGAAGACATATGTCTTATCTCGTACACTAGAAAAAATGGGTGGGTTATCTTGTATTTGGGGAGGTTTTGGGTGTCTTATAAGTCTTATAAATGGACAAAGAACAGTTCAGAAGATACCCCCTCGTTATACAATTGCCCCTAACCCTTACACTGGCTTAACTCGTACACACAAATAGGTGTCTTACAATGAGGCTAGCCTGTTTATAAGAGACACCCGGATAATAGACAAGCCCTATCTACTATTCAACACTGTCTACTATCCGGGTGATGACGGTGTGTTTGCGCAATGATATATCTCATATACTGCGTTCCCAATGCTTGAAGCCTCTCAACTCAATCCACTAACAAAGATTAGCCACCCTGAAGTGTCTTCAAACATGTTTTGAGATACTGTAAAACATTACCTGCATTGACTGGCACCAAGGCATTTCATTATTGGTACCAAGAAATTTCATTATTGGTACCAAGGCATTTCAGTATTGGTACCAGGGCATTTCATTATTGGTACCAAGGCATTTCATACCAGTTCAGCTGCCCCACTAGGATGTCATACCGAGAAGAAAACTCACGGTATTCCACCGAGAGCAATTGCTTGAGATAAGCCCCTCTGAACAGCCTAGCTCTGCTGAGAGAACAAGGAAAGCCGAAGGCAAGTTATGTCTCATCTTGCTGCATTACTGTCCACCTTCTCATGAAGAGCCACACTTGGTGTCATGAGCTTCACTCAACCTCACACCCCCCTGATGATCGCACCAGCACGCAGCAACTTCCTTCGTGCCCTTTCAGCAACCTTATCTGCTTCCACCTTTAACTGCCTCAGCCTTGGGAAGCTTTCAAGCAACCCGATCACCCCAGCAGACGTGATCCCGTTGCAAGCGATGAGAGTGGCGTGGGTGAGAGTGTCGATTGGGCATGCTCGTAGCAGGGCATCGGACATGGCATCGCTGCGCTCTACTCTCAGCTCCACCAACACCCGGCATGCACGCAACACTGCCCTCAGCTGCTCCTCCCCCACCCCACCGCACGCCACCACTGCCAACCGCCTCAGCCCACCAAACACAGCCGCCAAGGCAATGCTCTCAAACGACTGCTGCTGCTGAGCGGGAGAGGCACTTGGGGCGAAATCAGGGGAGGAAAGGGAGGTTGAGGGGCGAAATGTGGAGCAAGGAGGAGTACGGGAGACTGGAAGCAGGAGGGGGAATGTAGAGGGAAGATTCTCAGAAGTAGGCCCGGAAGGAGGGCTGAACTGGATGTTTTCCAGAACCAAGGAAGCCAGGGACGGGCAGATCACTTCCACTCGCGCTACCCTTAGAGATTCTTCATGCATCTTAGCTGCTGCGAGCCTGCTGCTGCCTGCCCTTTCTTCTTCTCCCTCCCCTAGAAATTCCTCCCTTTGTGCACCCTCCTCTTGCACTCCCTCCCGCCGCTGCTACCGCCCCACCCGCCGCTGCTACCGCCCCAACTATCCTGCCCTCAACATCCTCCCCCGCAAGCAGCGCCTCAACGCTCTCACGCATGGCCGACTGATGCGGGCGCAGCTGCTGATACAACCCATCTAGCGTCGCGAACAGCTCTTCACGAGACACCTCGGGAATGCCGTCACTCGGATCCCTCTCCAGCATCAAGTGGTGAGGCCCATCGGGGATTGCGCCAGCACGGTACTCTCCGTCTGTAAAGTCGGTAAACACCACCGAGCCTAAACCCCAAGCTTCTAGATCTGCGTCTTCCGACCACCGTTCCTCCTCGTTTCCGTAAAACTCCGTTGTGAAAACCCCTGACGCACCAGCGCCAGCGCCAGCGCCAGCGGCGGCGGCGGCGGCGGCAGAGTGTCGCACCACAGCGCGCGCCCTCACTCTCGCGGCGTTCGCGTCCCACGCCCCCGCGGACGCGGACTAACAGGCGGAAATCGCGCCCATATCTTTTTTATGGCGGGCTTTTCTGCGTGCAGCCACTGGTGTCGCCGCGCAGTGTCCGCTTCCGCGTGCGCGGAGCCAATTAGCTCCCCCGCCACATCGATTAGCCGGCTCATATCTCTCCATGCTGAGGCGGCGTCGGCGCGCGCCGACGCTGCTGCTGCGCGGATATCAATATAGGCGCGCCGGTTCCCCTCGATCCTCCCCTCCGCCGCCGTCGCTGACGGGGCAGCTGCAGGCGCATCCGCACTGGCACCCGCACCCGCACCCGTGCCCGCTCCCCCTCCCGCACCCGCACCCGCACCCGCAGGCGTATCCACACGTCGTGCCATCAATCCCCCCGCCTCGTCCGCCCTGACGAGCATGCCCAGCAGCCCTTCCAGCGACCCCTCTGTTCGTTCGAGAGTGAGCGACTCAAGGCTGCTGCACCCCGCAAGCATACCCGGGCGGAACGACGGCAGACCCGCAAGCGTGAGCGTCTGCAGCTTACGGGACGACAGGCGAAGCACGGCTGAGAGGGGCTTGGAGCTGAAGAGACGGTAGGAGCTTCCGGAGAGAGAGAGGGAGGAGAGTGAGGGATTGGCTCGAACCATTGCTGCCACGGCACGGCCGCAGACCGAGGGGCAGTTGTCGATGGTGAGGTGCGTGAGGGAGTGGAGGGAGCGCGAGAGGGAGTGAAGCTCGCACGGGTTGAATGTGCAAGACTCGAGGGAGAGGGAGGAGAGGGACGTGAAGGAGGATACGCGGGGGAGGTAGTTCGTTAAGTTGCCAGATTGAATGGTGAGGGATTGGAGAGACGAGCGGAAGGAGGGGGAGAAGCAGGGAGACGCGAGGCATGCAAGGTCGCCGCCGGTGGGTTGCCAGAGCGAGAGAGAGGTGAGCGCGGAACAGCGGAGGAGGGGAGAGATTTCCTTGGGGTGGAAGCCGAGGGTGACGGCGCGGAGTGAGGGGAAGGCGTGGAGAGGCGGCAGGGCGGTCCTGTCTTCGTAGCGGCGGCGGGATGTATTGCGGGCGAAACGGGAGCTGAGCTCGAGATGAGTCAGATGGCTGAAAGGAGGTGGTCAGGGTGGGGAACAGGGCAGAGGCCGGGGAGGGGGCAGTTGAGTTGATGAGGTGAAAGGTGCGAAGGAAGAGTGATGGTGATGATGAAGGGTTCACTGAAGTGACTGTAACGAAGCGGAGGAAACGAAACAGGGCGCTACTTTTAACTTCACGGTGGGGGAGAGATATATGTACCGTTCGGAGATGCCCAAGGAAGGCTACTCACGGGCATTGGCGAGCAAGGGATCGCCAACCACTAGCAGTGGCTTCGAAACTCTCCCAGTCCACCGTCAACAGCTTTAACTCTTTCAGCTGCCCGCACGTGGCGCCAATACCCGCCAGTAGGTAGTCTCGCAGGGTGTTCGACAGGAGGACGGTCACACTAGTAATGCGGGGAAATGCCCTCGATTTCATGTCGAACTCGGCCAACCAATCTCGGAGTTTGGAACCCCAGCGCTGGTAACTCATGAGCTCGACGAGGAGCGAGTGCGGCGTGCGGCGCGAGATGCGGTGGAAGCGAGAGCAGACGAGAGCGACGGTGCAACGGTCGGATGGGTGGGTGACGGTGCTGAGGATGGACTCGAGAATCTCGTCCGGGAGAGACAGCAGACGACAACGGTCACCGCGCTTCATGATGACGACGAGCCGGGAGATTGGATTTTGTCGCTGTGACGTGATGAACCAGATGGATTTTTGCAATATTTATGAAATACGGTAGTAGCGCGAACGCCGGTTGACCAGGTGCGAGCCGGCGACTACTTAGTTGTAGAGTTATAAGTTAGCGGTCACAAGATGGCGAGTCACACGTGTAGAAAATAGCAAGAAAGAAGGGAAGGTAACAACCAATGGACTGGAGATGTGGAAAATGGAAAGCATGTGAAGAATATGGAGGGCTCGGCGTTTGATTATGCCAGCTTTCTATCATCCTTGGTTTGGTCATTCACCTCGGCGTCCTCTCTTCCTCTCCCTCCCTCGATGATAGCTTTGCATTCCATGCATTCCTGGCTGCATTCACATGTTACGGGGGTTTCGTGCGCGAGTCTAGTACGGAAATTCGAATTCTCGAACATCCAATTTCGACCCGCCGGGGGAAAGGGATGCTACTGTACAAGGCTCTTCGTCAGTAGTACAATGTTGAACAAAAAGAAGACTTCCGTACATGCAATGAGGCTGTTTGATCTTGGCACTTACCGTATTAGTCGCATACAACAAGTACACAAATCGTTAACTCACTGCTGTTTATCCTGTGACGGGAACAAAACATGGTTGTAAATTGCCACCGTTTTGGCTCTAACAGCACCTGCCTCTGTGGGTCCTGTTAATGTCAACATTGAGAAAGCTTGCTTTCTTATTCTTATCAATTGGCATCGTTCTCATTACAAATGGCTTATTACAACATTTGCATCAACGTTGAACACAAGCTAGTGCAATCGAGTAACACTAGCTAAGATGTACCCTATCCAAGTGGCATTAGCAAGGCGGTTTGCTCTGGGGTGGGTGGTGGGAATGTTGAGTGAGCCGTTGGAAAATCGAGAAACGTGGGTGGAGGGAAATGAACTCCAACCCACGGTTTTTGTAGTTGGAGAAGGGCGTTTAGCGCGCTTCGACGATGCCAATTGTGCAGTACAAGCAGCTTCGCTTTCACAATACCCAATTTTAAAAAACACAATGTGTGTTTAAAAATTATAATATTCAGAAAGCTTGCTTTCTTATTCTTATCAATTGGCATCGTTCTCATTACAAATGGGGTCTCTGAGACATGGGCAGCGGGGGCCTCCGGTTGCGTACGAGTGCCTCTGAGTGTTGTGCCGATGACGCTGCATGCGTCAGGTCTTGTAGGTTACGGGAGGCTTAGATAAGAGGCTCGACGTATGGTGTAACATACATTTCCTTTGCTGAGTCGCTTCGCCATCTGCCCAGCCGTTTGAAGACCCTGTCTGGCACGCCCGTGTTGGCTGCTACTGTGGCTGCACCCTTTCGGAAAGAATGTGTGCCGAGCTGCAGGTCTCCAAGGCCCACCTTTGCGAAGGCTTCCTTGCACCAGTTCCGGATCGTGGTGTATGAGGGTGGCCTTGCTTGGCCCTCGCTGGTTGAAGCGTGGCCGAAGACCCGAATCAATGGTCCCTCTGACTGTGGGCCATAGCCGGCCAGTTGGATGAAGCGTCGGGTGCAGCGCACTGGGCAACAAGGGTCTGTCGTTGCTGCAATGGGAATCCAAGTGCCATGACCAGCCTGATCGGTCTTGGAGTGTGGTATGAGAATCCACATGACCGCGTCGTCGAATTGGATGTCTTGCCATTTTATGGCTGCCAAGTCAGAATATCGCAGGAATCCTGAGTACATGAGGATGGGGATCAACCCTTTCTGAAACGTCGCGGGATCGTCGGACTGCAAGTAACTCGCGGCCATGTCCCGGACTTGTTGGATCGATACGGGTTCCTTCATACGAGTAGGGCGAGGGCAGTGTCGTTTTGCACAGTCACGGACTTGGGTGGTGAACGGTCTGGTTGTCGGGCATTTGCTTCCAGTCAGGCGATGAGCGAAGCTGACCGCCGAGCACGTCAGCTGCACTACGGACAGGGTGGCTTTGCGTCCGATTGCGTGTACCAGGTAGAGCGCGAGGGTCATGTCGGATGCCGGAAGAAATGGGAGGTTCACTTTTGTGCAGAAGGCTCAAAACTTGGCCCAGTATGGTTCGTATGTCCGGATCGTAGAATCGGCGCGAGATTGCGCGAGCATGTTGATCATTTGGTCGTGTAACTTTGGGAGCAAATCTGAACACAGGGCGTTGATGTTTTGAATTAGTCAAATGCCATTCTCAGTGCAATAATTGGGCTGTGTGGTAGTCCCATGCCTGAAAAAGCATTGGAATGGGATCCTGCGTCTAGGCATTGGCTTCCGTGTGTCAGAGATATGTGCGCGTGGATGTGTGGAGCCCAAGTGCATGGGGAGGGTTGCAAAAGTGGCCACCAGCTTGCGCCTGGCCAGTGCGGAACTATCAGTGTGAGTGATGCATGGGTGCGTTGTGCGTGATGGAGGACGGCCGGGACCAGTTGGGGCGGGGGGAAGGCGAAGTTGTTTTCGGGTGTCCACGCGATCGAGAACGCATCAACTGCGATGGCTTCTGGGTGGGGAATCTTTGTGCAGATTCGCGGCAGTTGGGTGTTGCGGGAGTTTGCGAAGAGGTCGATTGAGTGGGGCCCCCAACGACGTTCCAAGATGCGGAACCACGGCGTTTTCAGCGCGTAATCGTCGTGGTCGACCATTTTTGAAAGTTCGTCGGCGTGTGTATTGAGCTCGCGCGGAATCCATTCGATGATCAAGCGCGTGCCAAGCTCCATGCATGTTCGGATGATGCTCTTGCATGCCGTTGCGAGGTCGGGGCTGTGAGAGCCGCCTTTTCGAAGGATGAAGAACACGCCCTGGTTGTCCACCCGCACGAGAACGTGTTTTTGCTTGATCTTGGTCGCGTATGTTTGGAGCGCCCAAAGGACGCCTTCAATCTCCCGTCGCGTGCTGGACGTTCCTCGTAGCGGCTCTGACATGGTTGCGCTGGCTTCTTCGAGGCCGCCCGGAAATGTGGTCAGAGTGGCGCCCCAACCATGAGAGCTGGCATCCACATGGATTACTGCATCGTAGCTGTTCCTGACGTGAAAAGGTGCACCGTTGAAATGGTCAAACTCCTCGTGCCAAAATTGGAGCTCCTCTGCTGCAGATGGGGGGATAACCACGCTGCTTTTCCAAGACGGTGCTTCGTTGATCACTTGCAACATAGCGTGGCTGAATGCGCGAGCGGTCGCGCCAAGTGCGACACCCATCGATGCAAGCATCCCAGTGATTTTGGCCACGTGGCGGACCGGGATTGGTCGGCATGCCCTGCTTGCGCTCAGGAGGTTCTGGATGGTTGCATGTAGTGAGGCTCGTCGGTCGGGACCGATGGAGAATCGGCCGGTGTCGGTCTCCAGTTCTACGCCCAGGAATCGGAGATGTTGCGATGGTGACAGTTGTGATTTCTTCGCGTTTATCACAAGGCCTGCCTCTTTGAGGTCCAATATCACCTTCTGGCAGATTGCTTGCGCGTCGGCTTTCGACTGGCAAAGAAATAAGATGTCATCCACGTAAGGTACGACTCGGATGCCTTGTTCTCGCCCTCGCCGAGCTAGTTGCTTGATGAGCTGTGTAAAGACGAATGGAGCCGTCGCGAGGCCGAATGGTAGTGAAAGAAAGGCGTATGTGCGCCCATCGAATTCGAAGCCAAGGAACTTCCAGCACGATGGGTGGATGTCGATGTGATGGTAACCAGATTTGAGGTCAATGGAGAACATCCAGTCCCCAACGCGCGCCAGGTCGGCGACACGGCTGAGCCCCTCGTACTTGAACTTGGGGACAATCAAGTTGGCGTTGACCTTTCTCAGATCAAGAATGAGCCTGCATTTGTCTTTTTGCTCGACCACGTTAAGTGGACTTATGCACTTGAGTTCCGTTGCGGCCATCGGAACTGCCGCTCCCGTCTCTATGAGTTCTTGGATGGCGGTACGTGTGAACGTGGCATGCGTGTTCACCCCGACATGATTGCGATCGTGGAAAGGTTGTGGTGGGCCGTGGCTCCATGGCAACCAGTAACCCTTGGCGATGACGGAGAGAACGAGGCTGATGGGGCACCATGAGCTCCACCACGCAAAGGTCGCGCGAAGACGACCGCGCATCTGTGTAATGGTTCTGTCTGTAACGGCAAATTCGTACGGGTCATCGTAGCCTGCCGCCTCGCACCGTCGTGCTCCTGTGCATGGGAGGCCAAGTGGTATACGGGTTGAGTATTCCATGTTAAAGCATGCGTGTGCATGTACATGTACGGGCAGCCCTTGATCAAATGTGTGAAGAAAATAAAAACCGACGGAAATGTCAACGAATGTTTCAGGCGCGAAACGGCGCTTCTTCTTCTCCTCGTTTCCTCCGTTTTTTTTTTTTTTTTTTTTTTTTGCCCATCGTGCACTCGGTAGGATGTGGCTGTGCCTGCCCTTAGTGCATGGGAGATGATGCCTATGGCCATGGACACACTTGTCCATTGTGTTTCTCTTATTCACTCTTGTTCTCTCTCTCTCTTTCTCTCTCTCTCTCTCCATCTCTCTCCCTCCCTCTCTCTCTCTCTCTCTCTCTCTCTCTCTCTCTCTCTCTCTCTCTCTCTCTCTCTCTCGAATGGTCCTTGCATTTCTTTGGGGGGTGGTACAACGGAAGGTGCAAAACACACAAGCACAAGCTCAACAGAAAACCGGCATCCTAACTATTCCAAGTCCCCTACCTACTCTGCCCCCCCCCCTGTCCGACCCTACTGGTCGAACGGGGCCTCGATCAACTGGTGCAGCTGTCCCTCACTGAGAGGGATGATGGGTCCTCTAAAACCGAGCTCGTCCGCCGCCAAGGCCTCATTGGTCTTGGTGCGGAGGGCGTTGGCCTGTGCCCGCTGGAGGCACACGCTCCAACGCTAGCGGTACTCTGTCAGAAGCTTCGCTGCTTCGTAGGAGGTAGGGGCTGCGTTAAACCGCAGCTTTGCCGCCAGCTCCGCGCATTGCCGCAGGTAAGCCAGCACCCCCGACGAGGGGTAGCCGTATGTTTCCACTGCGAGCGCGTGGAACCCCACCCACGTGTTCCGCCGTGCGTACTTCTCCTCCTTTTTTGCCGCTGCCGCCCTAGCTGCCCAACCAGGAGCTCGGTTGCAGTTCTCGTCCTGGTATGACATCGGGTCCGTCACGGTCACGTCGCACATCCAAACCTCCCCGGTCAGTGGATGACGGATGGTGACATCCGCCTTTAGGTTTTCAACCAGTGAGTAGACATACGTCTCCTTATGAACCGTAAACCCCGCCTCAGCCCCGATATTTGCTATCTCATCCCGCAGAGCGTGATGGGTAGCGGTCCTCCCTTTCCCCTTCTCGCAGCGCATGAGGTGGTTGGGGAGGCGGTCGTCGGGGAAGGTGGTGCGGTAGCGGCAGTCACAGCGTCTAGGCACTGGGAGGGGGAGGCCTAGGCGGAAGGCAGCTGCAGTTGAGAGCTGGGAGGGGCCCATTCGGAGCGAGGGGATGAGCGGGATCGCCAGCAGCCAATCCCCCGCTCCTGGGCCTAGCACCGACTGCATCCGTTGCGCGAAGCTGCCTTCAACGGCGGGGTCAGTGATGCCCAGGCCTCCCAGAGTCACGGGCAGGGCCGCCTGCCGCCAAATCCTCCGCCTCTCCCGGGCACTCCTCGGTCTCATGATGTGGGCCGAGTCCAGGAAGGTGTGTAGGAGCTGCTCCCCCCAAGCTGACCATTCCGCTTCAGGGAGAGCTTCCAGGGGGGTGGTTCTGGCCAGAAAAGAGGCTCGGCGGCTGACACAGCGGGTAAGGAGGAGGAGGCTAAGCTGGGGGTCCATCTGGGCCAGCAGGGGGAGTGGGGATGCTGCTACTGCCAGTCTCTCTCTCACGGCGCCCGCGCACCCCCGGGGTATGCCAACCGGGCTGCCGAGAATCTGCAGTCCCTCATCAGAGATAGTAATTCCCGGGGGCACTGCAGAGGGGTTGATTGGAGCGGCGGACCACGCCGCGCATTTGGCCGGGTTGTGTACCAGGCCGAGGGCGGCAAGTGCGGATGTGAGGTGGTCGAAAGCTGCTGTGCAGGCCGAGGCGTCGCCGAGCAGCGTGATGTCATCGGCGTACGCCAGCAGGACCACCTGAGGGTGTGCCGCCGCCGTGGTAATGAGGCACGGGTGGATGCTTGCCACGAACAGGAGGGGGCCGAGCGGGTCCCCTTGGCGAACTCCTCTGGCGCTCTGCAGCGGGGCTGCGCCGAAGTCGTGGTCGAGGTAGAGCGAGGAGGGAGCCCCGTAGGATAGGCGGACGAGGGGGATTAGCTTCTTCAGCGCCTCGTTTCTCAGTCCTTCGAACACCGCTCTCCTTTCTACCGCGTTAAAAGCGTTCGCGAGGTTGATCTGCAAGGCCACTGCAGCAGGGTGCACTTCCAGGTACGTGCGAGCGGTGTGGATAGCCGCTTCGATCCCCCCTGCTACTGCCACGCCAAATTGGAGGGGGGCAAAGTGAGTACGGGCGGCTGGCGCAGTCAGGAAGAGGACAGCCTTTGCTATAATCCGGAGGAGACACTCCCCCACCGCTATTGGCCGCGTCCCTCCTTGGGGTTTCATAAAGGCTAGCAGGCGGGAGGCCGTGAGAAGATCCCCCGCGGCTGTTGGGAGTTTCCCTGCTAGAGCTGTGTTGGAGAGGGCGAGGAGGTGGGAGAGTACTTCGGCATTCCCTAGGGCTGCGTCGCGGATATGCTCGAAAGTGGTTCCTGAGGGGCCGGCCCCGACTCCGTTGGGGAGCTTGGCGAGGAGGCGCCTGAAGTCGCGGGCTTCGGTAGTGGGTGGGTCTTCAGCCGAGGCGGTGTGGAGCCAGTCAGGGAGAAGCTGGCTGGCAGGTGGATGTCTCGTCGCGAGGGCTTCCAGCACTTCAGGTGAGGCAGGTGACACAGGGGTGGCCTGGAGGGATTGGAGTGATTTTGACAGGTTACCCCGTTTTGCCAGACCTTCCGCCCGTGCCAGTATTCCAGTTGTGTCGAGTGAGTGGCGAGGCTGCGGAGGCAAGGAAATCGCCTGGACAGCTTCTTCGTATAGGTCCGCCCAGAGCCCTTGGCGAAATCGTAGAAGCCGATTCATCATCGCGCTCCAGTCAGGTTTACGGGCTGACGAGGTGCGAAGGAGTATGCGCGGGAGAAAGGTCAGTAGTTTCCATCCTGGCGCAGACTCGGGATTGGCCGCCAGGTGGAGTAACGGCGTCAACATACAGATCGCGAAGGAGTCGCGAAGGTCTTTGGGGGGGGTGGCAAGCGAGAGGAGGTTGGCGACTGTCACGCAGCGGGTCGAGGTCCCAGACTGCAACCTGAGCGAATAGCTCAGAGTTTTTCGCCAGGTCGTCAGGTTTGAGCATCGGGGGGGTTGGACTCGGGGCTGCGGAATTTTCATTGGCTGTTGCAGAGTCAATTCTTTCTTCTGGAGCGGCTCGATTTCCCCTCCTTGCTTGAATTCCCCCCGCGGTTCGATTCCGAACTGAGGTTCGGTTTGCAGGTTCACCTCTGGCCTGCTGGTTTGGGAGCTCCGCTTCCCGCAGCAGCTCCAACTCTTCCTCGTCCTCCTCGGCCTCTGCTTCTAGCATCCCCTCGCTTTCAGGGTTAAAGGCAGGGTCCCCCTCTTCACTTTCCTCATTCTCCGCTTCCTCCTCTGCTTCCTCGCTAAGTGGTTCCACGTCGCCCTCCGCGCCGTTTCGCATCAGCCTTTCCACATTCCTCGCGTAGCCGCTTGCACCAGATCGGCGCCTGTTCGAACCTCGTGCTCCACCACCTCTTCGTCCTCTCTCGTCGCCTCGTCGTCCGCTGCGGCTGCCGCGTCCTACGCGGATTCCCCGCGTTGCTCGTCCCACAGCAGCTCCCTCGCGCCCTGTCTGCGGCGCCGCGGCCGTCTCGTTTTCGCTTCGTCGCCGCACTGGCGTCGGCTGCGGTAAGATCGGGGGTGATGGACCCATCCGTGAGATGGGATCCGGAGCTGGAGGGTTCCGCGGAGAGCTCGCTACCGCAGCCTGCGCTTGCCGGGCCTCGTCCGCGTCTCCCTGCGCACCCCTCCGCGAGCGAGCCCGTGCACCACTTCGAGCGGGTTCAAACGCTTCCCCATCGTCCTGCCGCGCGCCCCGCCTTGCCAGAGTATTCATGGGCGCCTGCTCGTGTTGCGTTGAACTGCCCGGACGGTCAGCCGCGGCAGGAGCGCGGGTGCTCGCCTCTGCGGCACCCTCGACAGCCGCCCTCTCCTCGCCGCCCTTCTCCTGAGCGTCGCGAGCACTATCAGCGCGGGGAGGGGGGTAAGCGTTCTCCTGCACGTCCTCGCTCCCCTCGCCGCCCATCCCCTCGTGGTCAGGCAGGCCAGCGCTCACCGCGAGCGCGATCCCCCGCGCAACGTTTTCTCCTCGGCGATCTCCGGCGACGCGGGGGAGGGGGTCGCCTGGTCGTCGCTGGGATTCGGGTCGCCGCGAGCAGTCCCCCCCGCGTCCACATTCGGCTGGTTCCGGGGGACGGCGGGGCTGGCGGAAGGGCGGAGGGCGAGGCGGGAATGGCAACCAGCCTGATCCAGCCCTCGATCATGCTGCGGACACGTTCGTGGAGGTGGTGAGGCAGGCCCGGGCGAGTGGGGCGCCGACTCACGTCCATATTGAGGTGACCAACGGTCCCCCCTTCGCCGCGGACCCAGGCCAGGTCGCTCCTCTGCGTGCGCCGACGCTGCGCGAGTATCAGCCCGCGCGTGAGGGGAGGGCTCAGTTCCGCACCCCCCGTCAGGTTCCCGGCTTCTCTGCGCCGCGCTTGGCTGTTGGCCGGACTCCTGGCTGGCCGGCGGCGTTTCCGCGCGAAGCGCAGACTGCACCTCTCCCCACTCGCGCGGGGAGAGACCCCATGCTGACCATGTGCCGGGTTCTGAATCTGGCGGAGGCGTGCGAGGTGGTGGCGAACTTGCAGCTGGCGGTGTGTGGGGCCACGAGGAGCTTTCCGAGCAGTTTTGGTCCAGGGACCCGAGGATCCTGCGTGACTTTGGCAGAATCACTCGAGTCGCCGTTCGCACCCGTGTCGGACGCGCCCGCCGGGGTAGCTCCCTTAGCCCGTACTTTCCCCCGCCACGTGGGGGATCTTGTAGGGGCTGCTCAAGCCGGGACCCCCTTGGACACGCTCCAGTCGTCGGCGCATCTCCTTCTTGCGTTGTCGGCGTGGATGCGCTCGATGCTTGAGGTGGAGGGGGCGGAGCCGTACACGATGTAGGCCTCCGCCGTGTGTAGAATTGCATGCCGCGCCTCTTGCTCCTGCCCAGCTCCTTGCCTTTGTGTGTGTGTGTGCCCTATATAAGCCGATCCTCCGTTTTGTGTCTTGCCACCAGAAACGCGCGGCCGAAGACCGCCGGCGCGAGCCGCGGAAAACTGAGAACACACGAAATAATGAGGAGAAGAAGGCACCAAGGGCCCTTAAATAGGCTCAGAGGAAGAGGGCCGAGGGAAGAGGAAGAGGGCTGGGTGCTAAGTCCTCTCTCTCTCTCTCTCTCTCTCTCTCTCTCTCTCTCTCTCTCTCTCTCTCTCTCTCTCTCTCTCTCTCTCTCTTGCTCTCTCCCTCTCCCTCTCTCTTTCATGCTCTCTCTTACTCGTAGTTCGTGGGGGCTAGTGCGTGGAATCATGGACATGCGTGCCCACCATGTTGTATCTCGTTCTTTCTCTTTCTCTCTTTCTTTCTCTCTCTCTCTCTCTTGCTCTCTCTCTCTCACACACACACACTCTCTCTCTTTCTGATCCTCCTCTTGATTGTTTCAGAGTCTCTTTGCCAAAACATTAGGCTTTTAATAAGGTTGTTTTTTTTTTTTTTTTTTTTTTAATCAAATCAACCAACACACGTAGTAATGCTCTCCTAGCATGCATCATGCTACTGAGTGGTGAACTACATGGGACCGAGGGGGTTGTTGCTCCCCTTCCCTATCCTAGGCCCAAAGCCTATTCCTACCCTTCAATAGGGCTGGCCTCTTGCCATCGCAAACCCCTAGGGTTGCCCACGGTTTTCGCACTCAAGAGTGCACCGTGCCTAGCGCTCAAGCGCCTATTCCCATGGCCCGCTCCTACACCACCGGAGCGGGTCCTTGGCCGCCGTGCCCGTTCCTAGGGCAGGCACTTGCCACGTGGCCCGGCTGACCGCAGCAGAAGCACGAGCCCCGGAACCCGTGGCAATTGGCCGTGGGCGGGGGGCCCCGCTTGGGTAAAAACGGCAACGGCGCGTTGTTTCCGCCGCGGTTGGCACGAGCATATCCGCTTGCCGCACGGTCCATTGCCGCCATGTCTGCGACCGCCTGCTTGAAGGGTCGAGAAGTCAGCAGGCTCTTCTGCTGGTACAACTTGAAGCGCTTCGCCGTGCGGAAGTCGGATGCGTCCTCCACTTGAAGCACCTCAAAACGCCCCGAGATGAGGTTGAGAGCGTGCGAGATGAGTTCGAGTCCGCCCGCTGGGTCTCCGCGCTGCGCCTTATATTCCGCGTGCAGCAGGTATGCGCGTAAGTCCTCCAGCAGCTCCGCTTTTTCTCTCACGGAGTCGTTGACGAATGTTGCCGCCGAGAAGGTGAGGTTAGAAGAAGGGAGGGGGGGAAGGTGTTCCGTGCCATTAAAATTAACATTGTTGACTGGAGCCTCACCGGCGTCATCTTCAGAGTCGTCGGTGTCGTTGTCGACCGCTGGAGCGGGGGGTGTTGCTGCTGCTGCGTCGTTGTCGTGCCGAATGGTCCTTGCTCCTCGCGCGCCTTTTTCCTTTTTCGCATTTTCTTTTTTAGCCGACGCAGATGCAGCGGGTAGTGCAGTTTCCGCGGCTGTAACGCTGACGGGCTGCTACTGTAGAAGGGACAGCAGCACGTTGACCTGGTCCGGGGTCAACGCCTGCGTCAACGCAGGGGCGGTCGTCGCGTCAGACGAGGAGACCGCCGTCCGCCTCCTCTGGCGCTGACGCGACGGTCCAGCCGCGGGTGCTGGCGTGTGCTCGGCGTCAGTGGCGTGTGCCACGCCCGCGGCCGTCGCCACTTGCGCCGCAGGTGCCACAAGCGCCACAGGCACCTCAGGCGCCACTGGCGCCACTGGCGCCGAAGGGTGCTGCTGGGCGTTGGCCGAGTTGTTGACCTCGAGCCCGCCCAGCAGCAGTCCACTGCAGTCGGGGCGGGCGGTCCATCTTCTGCCCGTCGCTTGTTACGGCGTTCGCCCGCCAAATCGCGGGTGTTACGGTCGTTGTCGGAGGCGGGGTTGGACGAGTTCCCGTTGTTAAGTGTCGGCGTCGGTGCCATCGTTGAGCGATTGAAGTTAAAAATATCGTTGAGTAAGGTCGAAGGTGACTCGCCTCTAGGAAGCGATTTTGTTCTAGCCAGCTTGGACGGAGGGATAAACTACGTGAGCAGAAATGTTGAGTGAGCCGTTGGAAAATCGAGAAACGTGGGTGGAGGGAAATGAACTCCAACCCACGGTTTTTGTAGTTGGAGAAGGGCGTTTAGCGCGCTCCGACGACGCCAATTGTGCAGTACAAGCAGCTTCGCTTTCACAATACCCAATTTTAAAAAACACAATGTGTGTTTAAAAATTATAATAATGCATGGGTGTCATAGAGCACCTTTATTGGTTTCATGAACGCCCATGTCAAGTCCACTGCCCACCAATCCAACTCGCACCTGCTATTCCTTGACACGACCTCTCCTGCTCAGGTATATAACATTCATTCTTTCACAGCTTCCTATTATCTGATCTTTGCCCCACCAGTCTGCCTGCTGCTTCCATCTCAACAACTCTCCTCTGCCTCTCCATTCACGCACCTGTTCCACATAACACACCTCACCCTGGGCCTAGTTGAAATCTCTTGACAGCATCTAGCGTTCCCCAAAGGCCAAACGCCACTCCAAACACCACCAAGAACCAGTTTCCAGCCACCACTACCCCACTCGTCCGGCCTTTACAGGCCTTCAGATGAAACAGTGCAGGGAAGACAAATGCCAATGCAGAGCACACGCTGCAGCCTATAAGGGAGATGAACGCTGAGAAATGCGGCACACCCACAGCCACCAGCGCCACTGCCAGCACTGCAAGCGAACGGAGCGAGCGGAAGAGCGTGCGGCGAAGAGTATTGTTCGAAAGCACGTGCCGTTGCACCCATGGGGAAAGGTAGAGCCTGCGCTCGTAAATCTCATGCACAGGATGCATCATGACTGGGAATGTGAAGAAAAGAGCAGCGCATATTCCCAGCTTCACGGCTTCCGATGGCCATCCCGGTGGCAAATTCAGTGTGATAATCTCCTGAGTCTCCTCACCGTATCCCACATACCCCGCCAGGCCTACCGCTGCGTAAGTCACTGAGATGATCCCGAGGCCGAGCGCGAGAACTGAGGGGAACCGGCTGGGCTGTTTCATGGAAGCCTGCAAAGGGAGAGTCATGCCGACGCCCTCGAATGCGTAGACTGCGACGCCGAGAGCCATGGGTGCGTTGGAGAGGCCTGTGAAGGCGGAGAGGTGGGAGAAGCCGTGGAAGGAGTAGATGCCGTAGCAGATCACCAGGGCGAAGGCTGAGACGTTTGCCACGTCCGCGAATATGCTGGAGAGAGAGGGGTGGAGAAGGAGGGTGAGGGTTGGAGAGGGATGGTGAGGGGTGGAGAGGGACGGCATGGGGCACAGGGAATGGGAGAGAGTGGGGAAGAGGAGGTGTTTATTTAAGGGTACAAGAAAATGAGGAGTCATGTGCAGGGAATATGGGAAGAGAGGTGGGACCGTCGGAGACTAACAGTTGGTGGAAGGACAGGAGGAAGTGAAATGCGAGGGGAGCGGTGAGTTGAATTGAGCATGAGTGTAACAACGTTGAGAACAGAGGAGGGGCCAACGAGGGTTACCTGGAAGGCTGAAAGCGGTTACCTGAAAGGCATTACCTGAAAAGGGTTCCACGAATGAGACATGTGTGCAAGGGGTTTCCTAAAAGAGATTACCTGAAAGGAGCAAGGCGCGTGAGAGAGCGCATCCATGACAGCAGAACCTCCAAGGGCGCTGAAAGGGGTAGGGGAAAGAGGGAGATGACAAGAAAAGGGGAGGGGAAGGGGATTTGGGGATGGAATGGATAGGCAGAGCAGGAGCAGGATGCGGTAAGAATAATTCGACGTGAAAATGAGGGGAAGGGGTATGGGAAGTGTCGGGCGGTGGCGGAAATGAAGTGAGCACAAGTCATTGAATTGAGGATCCTAAAGGATGGGGGTACCAGCAAAGGGCATGGAAACTGGATTCCGGTGAGCAGGAGGCATGCGACAAAGAGTGGACGAGCGTGGTGGGTGGGACTGCATGCAGGAGGCGCGAGTGTAACCTCCGTGCACATGGGTTACTTACACGAGTGCACTTGCGCACACTCATTCTTCCATACAGCCACCCCATCAGCACACACATACTACCAGCCATTTACCATGGACCATGTACCAGCAACCACCTACCACCACCTGTCACCTGCCATGTACAGACAGCAGCAATGACAAGATTGCACTTGGTGGAGTGCGAGAGCACAGTGGACACGTTCTGGCCTATGGAGATGAGGTACGCCACGCAGAATCCTCCAGCGCTCACGAGCATCATCCAAGTTTCAAGTAGACTCAACAACCTACAGCCTACCACCTACGAGCAACCGCCTGCCAGCTGCAGCAATGACGAGCGCGCCTTGTGTTTGGTTGAGTGCGAGAGCACACTGGACACGTTCTGGCCTATGAATATCAGGTATGCCACACACCTTTTGACACGTTTCAGGCCACTTACCAACGGCGGCAATGACGAGCGTCTTGTGTCTGGTGGAGTGTGAAAGCACACTGGACACGTTTTGGCCTATGAATATTAAGTACGCCACGCAGAAGCCACCCTGGCTGATGAGCATCATAGCGTCTACCGCCACTCGGCCCCACACACCATACAGCCTGAACCCCAAGTCGCCGTACGAATTCACCTTCACCACGTATACCTCCCCGGCTCTGCTTCCTGCTCCCTCCCTCCCGGCTCGCTCCCTCCCCGCTCCCCCTTTCTCGCGACCGCTTTCTACGTCCCCCCAAGAGCCGGCATCAACCGAAGTCTGCACCGACCGGCCTGTCGAACATGCATCTGCATTCCCTTCTGTCACTGTTGCTGCTGATGCTGCTACTGCTGATAACGGTGCTGCTGATGAAGATGCTGCTGATGCAGCGGCAGTTGCGTTATTAGCGTCGTCTTCCACAAACTGCCGCGCCGCGACGAGCAGCACCATGCCGTAGTACGACACGCACGCCATGGCCGCGAGACACACGAGCGAAAACAACCATCCGCTCTGTTTGAACGCGTACGGCAGCCCCAGCACCCCCGCTCCCACAATGGACACTATCAGATTCCCCAACGTTTTCGTCGCGGAGGAGAGTCTGTGACTGCTGCTGCTGCTGCCGCCGCCCGGGCTGTGAATCCCGCCGTGTATTCCGCCGTGAGTCTCGCTGCGGTCGCCGCCGCCGCTGCTGCTGGGGGATTGGGATTTGGATTGAGTCCCAGTGATGACGGAGGGTCGTCTGCTGGTTTCCGCGCCCGATAATAGAGGTTCCGTTAACGTCGATCCGGTTGAGGATGACGCGGTGGGATTGCCATTGACTCCCTGACGGAAGCGCGGAGAGGGATGAGTGTTGGTCATGTTCTGGATATAGAACTTCAGTGACGTTTTACTAGTTGTTCATGGCCTACAAACGTGAAACTTGAAAAGTGGCGAGGCAACTAGGAGGGCAAAATAAGAGATAAGAAGTGGCAAGTATCAGCCAGACGTAATGCGCTCTTATTGCTTGTACAGGCTGGGCGATGTATACTAAGAGTACACCATACATCCATTGAAGATGGACAACGGAACGGATTCATTTTTGTGCTTTGAAGTTTCAACACAATAGGAGTTCAACTAAAACGCCACCACAACTCCAAAATGCTGATCAGCTAAGCCAGACTCCTAGGTGGATCCACCGTGTTTCATGGGCTGCAGACGAGTAAATTCCAGCGAATGACGTGACAACGACCCGAACAGCTCAAGGTGGCACGACAGCTCCTTGGAGTTTTCACAACACCTGGAGAGTTTTGATTGGACTCTTTAGCTGTGTGTTTTCACGAACTCGGTGGGTGTGAAAGCTTTCAACGGGGTTGAATTCGTTATTTGCATGGTGCAGCTGGTAGCATTTTGGCAACGCCACGCCCTCGGATATGAACACATCTACAGACGCCATTAGGGCGCGTGTCTTTTGAAATTTACTGCAAAATTCATATTTTTACGTCTATTTTATACGTTTGAGCCTAGGTCGACCAGTACTCGAGTATCTCAACTTTTGGGTCCCGATTCAAGATTCTTTTTCCTCTCGAAAATCACTTGCCACAACAAAGTTCAACTTAAAACCCAAGACCTGAATTACAAAAAAAGGAAGGCAAACTGTGCACAGTTTGCCTACCAAACCCAGAGTTGACCTCCCGAGCCAGGCGGGTTACCAGAAAACATTGCGCCAAGAAACACAGAGTCGTAGAGCAGAACAGGTTTGGTTGGCGAGAGTCCCAACCACACCCTCCTGAAGGAACAAGGGCTCAAAGTGTGCACAGTTTGCCTTCATCGGTAATTCAGGTCGTGTGATTTCCATAGTACGCGAAGCGATTAGAGTATGCGAAGAGATAGAATAAAACGCCACTACAGCATAGGCCATGAGAATTTTCACTTTCATTCCTAGCAATTTTCACCGTCACCCACGCTTTCCCCACCGTCGCCCACGCTTCCCCCCACCGTCGCCCACGCTTCCCGCCACCGTCGCCCACGCTTCCCTCCACCATCGCCCACGCTTCCCCCCACCGTCGCCCCCGCTTCCCCCCACCGTCGCCCACGCTTCCCCCCACCGTCACCCACGCTTCCTCCCACCGTCGCCCACGCTTCCCCCCACCGTCGCCCACGCTTCCCCCTACTGTCGCCCACGCTTCCCCCCACCGTCGCCCACGCTTCTCCCCACCGTCGCCCACCGCCACCGTCGCCCACCGCCAATGTCGCCCATGCTTGCCCTCCCATCGTCCTCGCTTAGCCTTCCCGCCGACCTCCCTTCTCTCCTCCCTCTCTCCGCGTCGTCATCACTCCCCTGCCCATCACGTTCCCCCTCTTCACCATCGCTTCTCTACCCATGCCGCCCACCCTCTCATCCCTTCCCATCGCGTTGGGTGTGGGAGGGTGCGTGGTCAGCAGCACCCTTCCGTCGCATACACGCTCATTCATTACCCCTTCCCTCGCCTCCCCATTCCTCATCTCCCCTTCCCTCATCTCCCCATTCCTCACCTCCTCATCCCTCACCTCCCGATCCCTCTCCTCCCCAGCCCTCTCCTCCCCATCCCACACCTCCCCATCCCTCATCTCCTCATCCCTCATCTCCCCATCCCTCATCTCCCCAATCCGCCTCATCCCATTCCGCCCCGCCCCACCCCATTCCGCCCCGCCCCACCCCATTCCGCCCCACCCCTTTCTGCCCCACTCCATTCCGCCCCACCCCTTTCTGCCCCACCCCATTCTGCCCCACCCCAGCCTCCTCCCCAGCCTCCTCCCCACCCTCCTCTCCAGCCTCCTCCCCACCCTCCTACCCACCCTCCTCCCCACCCTCCTCCCCACCCTCCTCACCACCCTCCTCCCCACCCTCCTCCCCACCCTCCTCCCCACCCTCCTCTCCAGCCTCCTCCCCAGCCTCCTCCCCACCCTCCTCCCCACCCTCCTCCCCACCCTCCTCCCCACCCTCCTCCCCACCCTCCTTCCCACCCTCCTCCTCACCCTCCTCCCCACCCTCCTCCCCACCCTCCTCCCCACCCCCCTCCCCACCCTCCTCCCCAGCCTCTCTTCCTCCCCTCCCTTCTGCTTCTCCCCCAAGCGTCCTCCCTACCTCCCTTCCTCCCATCAACACTTCCTCCCTTCCTTCATTCCTGCATTCCTCACTTCCTCCCTTCCTCCGTTCCTCCCTTCCTCATTTGCCAGTTGTCATTCCCTTATACTTCAGCCACGTCACATCTGACTTCTTGATTTGTGTTTGGACAGGTCTGCTCTGCATCTGGTTGTGCATGTGCAGGCTGTCTGATAGTAACACACGTATAGCCATGCCATATATTGGATTTTTTTTTTTTTTTTTTTTAAATAATACAGGATTATGAGCCTCAGAGCAGTCATACACATGACCAATACCAAGGAGTTCAACAATTAATATATTATCGTATCTGTAAAGTAAGGGGAATCACCAGACTCGAGAAGGGAACAAAGTTAGGGGGTGTATGTGTAATGTTGTTTTCCGGCTTTGTCTGCTACACTGCAAGCAATAAACCAGGCCATGGTAAAGCCACATCTGGTGCTGAGCACCTGTAACTGCATTGGGGGGTATGGGGGTGAGTGAAGGGGGAAAGACAGTAAACGGAATGAGCAGAGAGGAAGAGAAGAAGCAGCAGGGGACAGATTGAACAGAGGGGAAGAGAGGAAGCAGGGGGGAACAGAGTGAGCAGAAGTAAAGAGAGTGAGCAAGGGGGAAGAGGGTGAGCAGAGAAGAAGGGGAGGGAGCAAGGGTGAAACAGAGGGAGCAAGGGTGAAACAGAGGGAGCAGGGGTGAGCAGGGAAGATGATAGGGGGAAGAAGGGAAGGAGATAGGGGGAAGCAGGGAAGGGGATGGGGGGGAGCAAGGAAGGGGATGGGGGTGAGCAGGGAAGTGGATGGGGGGATGCTGGGAGGGGGACGAGGGAAGGAGGGAAGGGGACTGGGGGAAGCAGGGAAGGGGAAGGGGGAAAGCAAGGAAGGGGATGGGGGGAGTAGGGAAGGGGTTGGGGGGAAGCAGGGAAGGGGATGGGGGGAGCAAGTCGGAGGGGGGGAAGCAGCACAGGGGATACGAGGAAACAAGGAAGAAGGCAAGGGTGTATGTGCGGGTTGGAAAGGGGGCGCGACAAGTGTGCGAGATGGGAAGGGAGAAGGGCAACGAGGAGTGATGGTGAGGGCAACGAGGAGTGGAAGGGAGGGCGACGGGGAAAACGAGGGCGACGGGGGGAGAGAGAGACGGGGATTGCGAGGGGACGAGCGCGAGACGAAGGGGGGCAACGGGCGGAAGGGAGGGAAAGAGAGCGTGAAGGGGGCAAGAGAGTGAGAAGTGGGGAAAGAGAGTGAGCAAGGGGAAAGAGAGTGAGCAGGGGGGGAAGAGAGTGAGCAGGGGGGGACAGAGTGAGTATAGGCGTGAGTCGGGAAAACAGGGGCGAGCAGAGGGGGTAAGAGAGCGTGAAGGGGGAAAATGGGTGAGAAATGGGGAAAGTGGGGTTAGAACGAGGGGAGTGAGCAGAGGGAAAGAGAATGAGGAGGGGGGAAGCGAGTGAGCAGGGGGAAAGAGATTGAGGAGGGGGGAAGCGAGTGAGCAGGGGGGAAGAGAGTGAGCAGGGGGGAAGAGAGTGAGCAAGGGGGACGAGAGTGAGCAGGGGGGAAGAGATTGAGGAGGGGGGAAGCGAGTGAACAAGGGAAAAGAGAGTGAGCAGGGGGGAAGAGAGTGAGCAGGGGGAAAGAGAGTGAGCAGGGGGGAAGAGAGTGAGTAGGGGGGAAAAGATTGAGCAGGAGAGAGTGAAAGGCAATGGGAGGGGAAATGAAGGTGACGGGTGGGGAAGCGAGTGTGACGGGGGGAAAGCGAGTGCGGCAGGCGTGGAAGGCGACGGGAGGGGGAATCGAAGGCATCGGGGGGGGGAAATGAAGGCGACGGGAGGGGGAAGTGAGGGCGACGGGAGGGGGAAATGAAGGTGACGGGAGGGGGAAATGAAGGCGACGGTGTCAGAATGTTATTCTCTAGCCTGTAGTGGGGTGCTCTATAGCGAGTACAACCCATCTAGGGTTTACTATATGTATCCTCATTGCTGCTAGTGAACTCCCCTCTTCTTGCCTAAACTTCTCTTGCCTAGCTAGGGCTTACCTAGCTATGGCTCCTAAGACTGCTCGTTCTTTTAACAGTCGGGAGGGGGAAATGAAGGCGACGGGAGGGGGAATTGAAGGCGACGGGAGGGGGGAGTGAAGGCGACGGGAGGGGGAAGTGAAGGTGACGGGAGGAGGAAATGAAGGCAATGGAAGAGGGGGGGGGGGTGAAGGCGACGGGGGAGAAGTGAAGGCAACGGGCGGAGCGAAGGCGACGGGCACGCGACGAGCTGCGGAAGCGATGGCGACGACGCGGGCGAAAGAGAGCGGAAGCGTGGGAAAGGAAATCGAGGGCGAGGGGAGGGTCACGTTTGGGCGAACGGTTGCGATTCGATTTTCGCCACGAGTTTACGCTACAGAGTAGTTGCACAATAACCTGCATTTTGACACAATAATCTTCACCCGGCGCAAACTAGCTTTGCGCGTCATCATTGCAAATCCGTGCCACCCAAATCGTATGGCGCATCTACTCCCTTTTGAGTGACCCCCGACGCCCTGCCCTGTCTACAGGTATGGTCTATGCCTAATACTCTGCGTGCTATCTCAAACTGTGCACTGTTTGATAAGCTCGCGCTTTTCTAGTTCTGGGAAGGGCACCAACCATCATGGGAAGCGAGAAACTTTTGTCGCAAATTGGTTTCGCGAGTGAAAATCTCTCGCAACCCAACCGAACCTCTCCGTGCCTGCCTCCTGAACCTAGTTTTTAGCGTTGACTTCCGTTGAGTAATTCAGGTCTTGGGCTTTAAGAAGTTGGACCTCTCCAGCAAAACCCGGGTAGCGCCCTAATTTCGTTTTTTTTTTTTTTTTTTTTTTTTTTTTTTTTTTTTTTTTTTTTTTTTTTTTTTTTTTTTTTTTTTTTGACTCAAGTGCACTATAAGGATAGCATACATGAAATGTCCTCAGTCGTAACTGATGTGCAGGGAGGTGTATTATCTAGCCCTGTAGATGCAACCCCCCAACTACCCTCTATGGCGGTTGAAAGGTGATGAGTGGATCCTCCCAGATTGCTCTAAAATCCTCTCTCCACGTCATGGATGACTCCTCGCTATAAAGCTTACTCAGCACCCCAGCCTCATCTTTTGCCAGGTGTTCCCAATCGTTTTTGCCCCCCTGGCATTTCCCTCTCGCCTGTCTCTTCTTTGCATTGCTGTAGATCCTTACGTGTCTTGTGAATTGGACGTTTATCCGCCTCAGAACCCGCTTGGCCTGAAATCTCACCCCTCTCCATATCGCGTTACATCTTGCCAGCCACACTTGATGCGATGCCGTGGCTATTAATGAGGCTTCCGGAAAACCTGATTTTGTGCATGTTTCTTGGAACAGTAGGTCTCCCACCGTCCCCCCTTGTCGCGCTGGATTCATCAGCTGGAGCGCCCTCTGCACCACCTCTGTTACCGGCTTCACTCTCGGGCAGTCCAAAATGCAGTGGTCAAGCGTCTCCATTTCCCCGCAGTGAATACAATTGGCGCGTGCCCCCAGGAAAGGGAGCCTTTCGCCCACTTGCAGATTTTTGTTGTGTGCCCGTAGAATCACTTCCCTCGCCCGGGTTGGCGTCGCCAGCGAGTCTCTTGTCTCAATCGCCCTCTTCCAATCAACGGGCTTCCCCCAATCTTCCTCCCACTGCAGCTGCTGTTTCGGCTTCGTGAGTTGGGGTTCAGCATCTTCCTCTGAACACACAACTCAGCAGGCTCGCCCTCCTCACAGAGTCTCGACTGCAGCAACCTCGTCCTTGGCTCTCCCAGCCGGCCCTTCATGGCGCCTCTTATCTCTACCATCGGTGTCGCCTTCTTCCAGTTCACCTCCGTCGCACTAGCATAGCGCACCTCTTTGACTTTTCCTCCTGCTTCCACCGTCACCCTTTTCCCGTACAATCTGCCATTGGCCGTGTACAGCAGTCTGTAGTAAAGAAACTCGCCGGGACGGTATGAGTTGGTCCTTATCAGCTTTGCAGCTCCGAAAACTTCCTCCGCGGTGAGAGGCCTTAGAATCATTTCCTTCCATTCGGACGGCGTTGCTTCAAAGGCCTTCAACGCCCATTTCCTCTGCTCTTCACCTCCCAGGTCCCTATCCAGTGTCGCCTCTTCTTTGACTCTTCTGGTGCCGCCCGCTTCCTTCTCAATCAGATCTCCAAGCATGATTCCCAACAGGCAAACTGATCCCTTTTGCTTTCCAAACGGGGATTTTCCCCTGAAGAAAATTTTCCGATTAAAGAGCAGATGTTCTCCCTCCGCTTCCCATCTGTTCGAAGTTTCCCTTATCACCTCCTTCTTTGTCTCCCAGAGAGCCTCCTCCGTTGCCTTCCATCTCACCCCCCCTTTTAACCAGTGATGTAAGATGGCGGGGTGCGCATAGATCGTCGCAAGCCCTTGCGGGAAACCTGCTGCCTTCTCCCAAAGCCAGTTCCTGAACGGGTCTGTCGCCGTCGCTCCTCTTCCAATGTTGTGGATCCCAATACTCCCCAATCTCTCCTTCGGGTCTATTACGCCAAGCCCCCCTTCCTTTCGTCCTCTGCGGGAAAGCTCATAGCTCCACAGGATGAAAAATCTGTCAAAAGACGTTTTTCCTTTCGATATGAAGTTATGGCAGATCCGCTTTACTTTCAGGCATATCTCGTGCGGAGGCGCATACACCAGCGCTTGGAACAGCAGAATTGGCATCGCGTAACTGTTCACGATTGTAACCCTCGCATGTGTTTCTCATCCCACTTGCTCAGCTCTCCGCACATCCGTTCAAATGCCTTATACCAAGACGGCTCCGGCGATCCGTTCGGTGTGATCCAGATACCCAGCAACCGTTCCGGCTCATTGCTTGCCGCCCATTTGAAAGGTGAGTCAGTAGGTTGCTGTCTTCTCCTGTTTTTCCCTAGTGGTAACTGTTTTGATTTCTCCTGGTTGATGTATAAGCCCGAGACCTGTCCAAAATCGTCTAACAGCTTCTTGGCCGTGTCCACTTGCTCTTTGCCCCCCAACGCCAGGGTCGTATCGTCCGCATACCCCACATACGTCAGGCCCCCGAAACCTCTTTTCCTGATCCCAAGGTTCCTCCTCCTCGCCTCCTGACACAGAGATTCCGCCGCGCATAGGTACAAATAAGGAGCCAAGGGGCAGCCCTGCCGAACCCCTTTTTCCATCGCTACCCTTTCTCCCGTCCATCCATTTACTAACATCCGTGTGCCCGCTCCATCATGCAGTCCCTTTGTCCAGGCGATGAACTCCTTGGGAAAACCCATCATATCCATCGTGCGAAAAAGTAATTCTCTCGAGACCGAGTCTTATGCCTTTTGGAAGTCAACCAGAAGCAGGAGCCAGTCCTCATCTCCTTCCGCTGCTGCATCAACTACGTCTGCCACTATCGAGACTGCATCCGCTAGCCGCCTCCCCGGTAAGAAACCAAACTGATGCTCTAATATCACCCTCGGTAGCACCTTCTTAATTCGGTTGGCCAGGATTTTTGCGATCAGCTTATACACCACGCTGAGCAAAGTAATTGGTCTGTAGTTCCCCAGCTACTCCTTGTCTCCTTTCTTGTGTAATAGGATAGTCACCGCCGTCATGAAAGCTTCTGGCATAACCGCATCTTTTTTGAAGTTGTTGATCAACTTCATCAGCTCCTTCCCCAACAGCTCCCAGTTTTTCTCAAACAACTCTTTCGGCAGTCCATCCTGTCCCGGCGCCTTTCCCGCTGGTAGCTCACGAAGTGTTGTCTTCACTTCCTCCTCCGACCATGGTTTCGTAAGCAACGCCTTATCACATTCCAGCAGACGCTTGTCCTCTTCCACCTCCCAGCTTTCCGCATTACGCTCTTGCTGACAGTGAGGAGCTGCGTAAGATTCTTTGAAAAAACTGGTCGCCGCTGCCAGCACTTCTCTCGCGCCTGTAATCGCCTGGCCATTGCACACCACTCCTTTAATCTCTGTTTTCTCTTTCCTCGACTTTATTAGGCCTGAAAGGTAGCCAGTCGGTGCCTCACTCGCCAGCTCCACCAACATCCCCGTCATCACCTGCAGCCTAACTTTCGTTTTTTCCTGATACCCCTTCAGCGCCGCCTCATGTTTGATCAGCTCCTCGTACAATCCAGGCCCCGTCGGGTTCGACACCAGAAGCCTCCTGAGTCTCACCACCTTGGCCTCCAGGTGCCGGATCGTGGCCTTTACCCGCTTCCTTTCCTCTGCTGTATGCGCTCTCAGACTCGCCTTCAAGTTCAGCAAAAGACCATCGAACGGCTGCTCTAGATGCGACTGGTGTTCATTCAGTGCTGCTTCAATGATCTTTTTTGTTCCTGCTTCCCCTGCTTGTGTCATCTGCAGCCTCCAAAGCCCGGGACCCCCTCCACCAGGTACCGCCGCTTGGACCGTCATATGTATTGCAAACCAGTGATCCGTGATGCCAACCGGGACCATCTTATGCTTAGCTTCCATCGCGTGGCCAATCAGCGTGCTTGACACCAGTATCCTGTCTATTCTTGTGCTGACCTTTGCCAATCTTGAGAAAAACGTGTACTCCTTCCGTGTTGGGTGCAGTGTCCTAAAACTGTCCTGCAGGTTCCAGCTGCTGCAGATCTGTAAGAGACGCTGGTTCTCAGCAGGGGATCCGAGCTTTGATGACTTGTCCAAGTCCGGGTCTCCGACGATGTTTAGATCTCCCATGAAGATGGTGTGAGTTGTTGACGGTAGGCTGTGTATGAAAGGCGTCAAAACATCCCTGAAAAACTCCCCTCTACAAGTGGATTGCGCCGGGAAGTATGCGGCGACAACCCTGTACACCTGCTGCTGCCATGTGAAAGTAGCACTGAGGAGCCTCCCTGATTCATGGCTGACCACATCCTGAAACCGAATCCCAGGTGCGAAACCCAGAATAGCCACCCCACTCGCTCTCTGATCCGGAGAGACTACTGCTACCGCGTCTGGTTTCAGCTGACTCCAGAAATTATGATATGCAGGAATCCTGGTATGCGTTAACGTTACTATGTGAGCTGCTTTCCTGATCCAGTAACCACACCTCTCTCTCTTGCCGTTGCTGCCGAGCCCATTGACATTGAGCTCCAGAAAGGTAAGTTTGTGGTTTTTATCCATTTGTCAACTTGCTGGAGCCCCACAGCATCCACGGGCTTAAAGACTTCATTGATGAGATGCAGACTGCTACAGCAAAGGACAGCACCACTGCCAACACCCCTCCTACACAGGTAACTCCTACTATGACACCAGTCATTCCGCTACTGCACGGTTCCTCATTTCTTACATCTTTCCTTCTCCGGCTTCTTCCCAAAATCCTTCTTGAAATCGCTCAGCTTCTGAGAGCCTTTTGCTGCACGTGTTGCAGAACCTGGCTTGCGCGAGGCGATGTGCGCTGATGCTTGTTCGAAACGGGTACCCTGAGCCTTCTCGCAGGCCGCTTGGACGCAAATCCACTCCTCTCTCAGCCCTCCCGTCAAGACCAGCACCAAGGCCAGATCTTTGAGGATGCGCTTCAACAGATCTGAGATTTTCAGCGAGGCCGCTGCGGGAGAGATCGCATACGGTGAGGTCAGTATGATCAGCAACAAGCACAAAAACTGGACGCGAAACCGAGGTGAGCTGAACATTCCCTGTACCGTTGAGTCTGTGAGCCTTAAATACCGTAAGGTTCCAACGGCTCATGTTGTCATGTCTTGGGGTGACGTAGTTATCATGATAGCGAGTCAAATGCTGTCCCTCACAGAAATCGCAGCTGACGCTCGGGTAATGAATGAGGAATTTCCTTCCTGGCAGGGACTTAAACACCACCACGTGCAGCCAGCGGTACCCATCAGTGGCATGTGGGGTGACCAAGCCTTTGATACGGTCGGTATCCATGCCGGAGACAGGGTCAACCATCCGGTGAAAACCAAATCCACTTGCGAAAGCACTCTTACCCCTCTTAACCATCACAGCCTCAACCAGCATACGGCGAAACATCTCCGGTGAGATCTCAGCAGGTACCGCCTTAGCACCACTTCAATCGCCATCGGGTTAGCCGAGCGTTCCTTGAGAAAGCTAGCGTTCTCAGGGAACTGCCAGGTAAACTTCACAAACTTGTCATCCACGCATTCATGATCAATGACTTGGTCCCGCACAGACTCCGCATCTCGAGCATTGTTAAAAGTAACCCGCAGCCTTCCAAACTTCTGACGGGAGAAAAACGTCGGCAGCAGCTTCTGATAAGTTGTAGTCTGCAAAACATCAGGTGACAAATGCTCTTTGCAGTCATCCAGCAGCGCGACAATAGTGGCCTTAGTACGCGGGACTTCCGTGATCCTGTTAACAGGCACCAGCAGCGTTAGCGAGACTTTCGTCTGAGAGGCAATATCACCAGCGACAACCGGGTCAAACATCTCATCCAAGTCATCACTGAGGTAACCATCCCCCTCCTCTTCAGGATCCAGTTCCTCTGCTGCCGTTTATCCATCGGAGTCGTCAGCATCTCCCGTGTTGACCCGGTTGGTAACTCCGTAGGTGTTGGCCGCATCATTCGCGTTAACCTCTTCATTGACTTGTCTCCGTAGGTGTTGACACCTTTCCCTTTCTCCATTGACTTGTCTTCTTGAGCAGAAACTCCCGGCATCTTCAACGGCAGATCCATTGACGTTCCTGGCAGCAGTTTGTCAGACGGTTGCTGCGATAGACCATCCTTCAGCGGAGACGGCGGGGGAGTGTTGTTGACACTATCGTTGTCGAGACCATTAGCCTTGGTCGTCTTCACCGCATTGGACCTCGGAACCCTCGGCATTGTGCAATGATGAGACCTGCCGATCAGCTTGAGGATAGCTGAAACGAAAAGTGGTCTGAGCACGAACGTAGCTTTCTTTTTATGATGATCACCCTTACATCTGATCCCCTGGTGCATGGCTGTTCCGGGTGTCGCGGTGGTCCCAAAGACAGATTGTAACCTTGGAACTTCATGGAAACCTTGGTGAGAATTAGGAAAGTCGCGTTGAAATCCATGGAGCCCTTGGGTGTCAGAACATTATATAGCTTATACATTTGTGTAGGCTGTAGTGGGGTAGCCCATAAGGGATACAACCCAATTAGGGTTAGTACTTGTACCCAACTCTTTCATAGTTCAAACATTCCTCGTTTCTTTTCATTGGGATGTCAGGAACCTTGATAGTAGCTTCTTGCGTTGGGAACCTTGGGATGTATCCTGATGCTTGGAACTCAACAATGTCATACCAATGTCCCTGTTTTGGACATTTAAAGTAGACCTTAGTGTAGAGCTCAGTATCCCGCATCGTTTGATAACATCATTGTTAGGATCGTGCAAGAAATTGCTAGGCATTGGCCATCCTGAAACTCCTCATGTCCGCCATGGCTGAAGCATTGTCATAAGAAAATATCACGCGTGTGCATACCAGCTTTGACGACGTAGCTCCTGAATGAATCCGGAATCTGTAATGAATTACGGATGTCTAACGTTAACGTCGCAACGTCGCAGATTTACTGTGCACGTGAAAAATCGACCCCAGTTCATTGTCCTTCAGTTTCATCAATCTTCGAACTGGGACAGACATTTATCGCAAACAGCCGTAAACGAATTTCACAAAAGGGTTACCAAAACAAGTTACTACTATTTTAAATCACTACACAAAAAGACACACGCCCTCAGTGTGTGGTAGGTCCCCCGGTCTGGTGTTGGCATGTAACTGACGAATTGGTAGCTCGCATGCTTTATTTTTTCTGAGGTGTATGGGCGGGTCCTTTTCGTTCGTTTGAATGCGGCTCAGTGAGATGTCTCGCGTTCTACAACAGTCAAGTTAATTTCCATATCGGTCGGGATGGGTATTGACCAGAAATGAAATGAAAATGATGCGCCCTAACCGCAAGCATCCATGAGAGACAAACTATCAACTCTATATAAGAAACACCGTAACACTGTGAGAAAGTATGAACGAGAGAATGAATGAACGATGAATGAAGTGAGTACAAGTACTAACCCTAATTGGGTTGTACCCCCTATGGGATACCCCAGTATAGCCTACACAGCAGCATAAGCTATAATGTTCTGACACACTGCAATAACAGGAACAAAATAATTTTCTATATCCAGATAAAATTAGCATAGCAGGATTAGGCCAGTAACGCGTTTTTTGGTAAAGATGCAAGGAAAAACCCTTTTCCTTACAAGGGTTTACTCAACCGCGTACAACCCCAACTTTCGGAAGTGCACGTTCGGCCACTTTGCTTGCTGCCGAAGCAACCTCGCGTCCCCTTCGGCCTTTCCTTTGCCCAACCTGCACCCAACCTCGTATTCCCGAGGTTCCCACCTAGCTAGGTTGGCCCACTACATTAGCGCGTGCCTCCATTGTATTGTCAGTTCATTGAGTCACATCTTCGTTATTAATTATTCCGCGCACTCTCTTTCACAACTCATAACACTTGGTATCAGAGCTACTTTCCTAGTTCACCCCGCTTTTCGAGGGTAGTTTGGTGGCCCAGGTGTGGTCGGTATAGTGGACTACACGACGGTTGGCTGCAAGGCTTCTTAATTCAATCCTGCCCGACTCCGATAGTTCGTTTTTTTCACTCACCGGAAGGCCATGGATACCCCTCTGCCTACCAGACGAAGCGTACGACTCATGGACCGGGAGACATTGAACAAGATGCTGGCGCAAATGGCAGAGCTACAGGCAATAGTGCAGACTCTATCAGTAGAAGCGACAACACTACGAGGAGAAAACGCCGAGCTACGCCGGATGCGAGGTGAAGCGCGTCAGGAGTCGCCCGATGAAGAAGGCAAGGGCATTAGTCAAGCGGTGAGCAACCCGTTGGACGCGCTCACACGTGATTTTGAAGAAGAGGATAGGCAGCGAGCGGCAGCGACGCCAATTGCAGTAACGACGATCAAGATTAAACGCGTCAACCCGCCCCCGTTTAGCCCTATGGACAAGACTACTACAGTGAAGGGGTGGCTTTTCGGCGTTGAAGTCTTCTTCACTGCAGCAGGCGTGAACGACGATGCCACGCGTATTAATTACGCGGTTTCACTTCTTCGAGGCGCAGCGCTTGAGTGGTGGCGCCGAACCTTGGGCACGGGGACCCTGACAGGTGTGACACATGCGGCAGACGGGACTTCAACGACGGTTAATCAAGTGGCAGCACCGATATTCGACGTGACCAAGATACGCACATGGAAGGAGTGGGGCGCAGCCTTACGAGATCGCTTCGAGCACATATCCGGCTTGGAACAAGCTCGCATGAAGCTGCGTACCTGGTCGCAGTTGGCATCTGACCAAGACTACACAACAAATTTCATGGCCCTCGCCGACCAAGTGGACGACATGTCGGAAGCGAAGCGGTTAGACAAGTACGTCAGCGGCCTTAAATACGAGATACAGTATGAGGTGCATTGATGGCGCCCGACATCGTTCCTGGAAGCAGCACGGTTGGCAGAATCCACGGACGCG